TGTTCAGTGTTGCTTTTCTATATTGTTTGTCACTGGATTTATTTAGCAGAGGTTATATCATGTATTGCAAGATGCAGTACTAGATACAAATACGTATTACAGTGTAAGCATGTTCCTTACCCTTCAGAAATTCACATAAATGTGTGAAAGATTATGTGATGAAATCTAGATGCTTATCAAATCGATTGTAAGGAAAGAATAGTCATACTTCAATTGGCGGCGATTTTATGGGATACAGGCTGATCTAAATGGAGCAAATGGAAAAAAAAGTTAAAGTAAAAAAAAAAAAGCACAATAATTTTCTTTTAAGAGGACCTGCTGCTTTTCCATGTAACAATATCTCTATTTTGTGAGGGTGCATATTCCATACCAAAAGTAGAAAGATCTGTAAGATGCAAAGAATTAGCTAAGTAAATTAGAATCTAGAAAATGGACTAAAAGTCCATTATCTCAGTGGCTTATGAGTAATGGAATTGGATATTTTGGATTTCCTATTTCATATATTTTAAGCATCTAGTTAAGAATTATGACCTCCTTCTGAATAAGTCTATAAAGCCCTTGAAATAATGACCTGGGAACAAAGTATAGAAGTTTATTTGTTCGAAGATTCAACAACATACAGATTGCTTGAAATCAGAAACCAAACTATCTTCCTTCTACAATGCTTTAGTCCTACCATTTTGCTTTCTGTGTGTAAACAAGAAATTCTTATTTTATGCTGAATTATAATAATTCTTGGACTGAGGGCGTGAAAAAATATAATTTAATGGTTGTGTAGTATTAGTCTAAGCTTTTTTAGAATTAAACTTTGAGGTACTCTAATGCTGTAAACATTGTGTCCTAGTGGAATTTTTAACAGGAAACATGTTTGGAAGATTAGAAAGGTAAGATGGGATGTAAAAATGATCTCAGGGACGCCTGGGTGGCTCAGTGGGTTAAAGCCTCTGCCTTCGGCTCAGGTCATGATCCCAGGTTTCTGGGATTGAGCCCCACATCAGGCTTTCTGCTCAGTGGGGAGCCTGCTTCCTCCTATCTCTCTGCCTGCCTCTCTGCCTACTTGTGATCTCTCTCTGTCAAATAAATAAATAAAATCTTTAAAAAAAAATGATCTCAAACTCTTTGAAAAGTTAGCATAGCATTATTTTACAGAATAGTTTCTTTGGTTTATTTACACCTTTACTGGCTTAACTTCACCAAAACGAGCAAACTGTAGGACTGTGAAAGGGGAACATCCAATATGAATCTGAGATAATACGAGGAGATTGGTGGGGGGGAATGAAGTCCTGTTTTGTTTTTCAAAAAAGCAAGCTTTTCCTGAAAATGTCATCTGTGAAAGTCAAGGAAGAAACTTTAAATTCAACTCTTATTACTTGAACTTACTTTCTGATTTTCCTATCCCTAGAATGTCATAAGGATCACTCAAAAAGTAAAAAACAGCATGTTTGAAATCTGTGTCTCAACAAATGTCCCAAAGAACTAGCTGAATTTCCTTAGCCTTAACTTTAGTTTGAGGCTTTCAAAGTCAATAATTCTTGACACACAATTCCTGCTTCTATTAATTGTCAAAAAGTGAATGGAACTGTCCTTAGGGAAGTCCTTAGTTCAGACTTTACCATCCTGCAACTAAAACTGCTGGCCTTGTTCCCATCCACAACTTTGATATTCTTGGACCAGAGACCAGAAGAAGCTTCCACTCACCTAATGATGATCAATTAAGCTCTGTGTCAGACATGATACAAGATACTATAATACAAAGATGAATAATGCAGACCAATATGGAAAGTGCTATGCTAAGGATACATAAATAGTGCCTTAGAAGGTACACTTATGCCTGGAGGAGAGGGAGAAGGAGGAAGGCTGAGAAAGCAATGCTAAAACTGAGTCTTAAAGAATGGATAGGAGGGACTTAGCAGGCTACAGGCAGGGTAGACCATGCTGGGCATATAGTAAATACCTAAATATATCAGTAACAATCCAGTGGCAGAATCAAGGAACTCAAGGCAGGACAAAATGGAGAGTATAAACCTTCACCAGAGGTCGTTGGTGTGTCAAGGATGGAGCTAAGATATTTTCCTGGAAGGGTTCAGAGGGTGATTCAAGGAGGAGATGACGTTTGTTCTGATAGTAAGGGTAGAGTAAAACTGACAGGTGGAAGAGGGAAAGGATGTCATCCTACTTAAGAAATTTTGCAAAAGGCAGATAGGAAAGAAAGTACATGGTCATCTTCTTCTATTTATGCTCTCACCCTAGAGAGCTCATCTAATCCTGTGGCATCAAATACCATTTTAAGTGGATATTTCCTTAATTCAGATCTCCATCCTTGAATCAACCCTTGAGCTACCCATCTGCACCCTCCATATGTTTATTTGGAGTCTTCACTTCAAGGTCTTACAGTCATGTCAATTGTTCAATGTTCAATACTGAGCTCCTGATTGTCTTTCTTTCCCAAACCTGTTATTCTTCTAATCTTCCATCTCAGTTATTGGTTTAATCATTCAACTGGTTGCTCTAGCAAAAATCTAGATTCCCTTTTTCTTCAAACTTCATACCCAATCCCCCAGTGAGCAGTCTGGCTCCACTCAAAAGCCATCTCAAGTCTGCACACTTCCCTTCATCTCCTGGTCCAAGTGATCATTTTTGCCTTATTCTTCTATCTGGTCTCCTTGTTTCTCCTTTGCTCCTTTACTATCCATTCTTTACCCAATATCCAGAACTACCTTTTAAAAATATTAGTCAGATAATGTCACTCCCTGCTTTAAATTCTTCAATAGCTTTTCCTTGTTTCTAGACCTTAAATCCTCACCTAATCACTTAGCCCCCAGCTAGCTTCTCAGTCTCACTTCCATTTCTAACTCATACCACATGCTCAGCCATACTGGCTTCTTCCCAGTCTGAAAATGCACAAGGTCTTTCCCTACTCAATGCTGTTGTACCTAGAGCTCCCACTTCTGTGGTGATCATTCTCATTGTCTCACAATCATCTTCCAAGTTTTGATTCAAATGTCATTACAAAAATATGCCTTCTAATGAAAATTCTACCTCAAATTTTCAAATTAATCATTACTATACTTATTTCCTTCTTGGAACTTGACATGTAATATTCTGTTCATTCATTTATGTGTTTATTCTCTTTCTCTCTCTCTTTCTAGAAGTCCCAGCTCTATGAGGCTGAGGCCTTATTTCTCTTTAAGCATCATATCCCAAGTACACAGCACAGTACCTGGCTTAAAGCATGTGTTCAATAAATATTTGCTGAACAAATGAGTACCAAAGTCAGTAATATCTTAAGACTGGAGATAACAGTGACAGAATTAAATACACAAGAGACATTATGTAAAATAAGGATTGAGAAGGATCATTTAGTTTGCTCATTTAGTTTGTCACTGGTGAGACTAGTGAATTTGGTGGGAAGGCAGAGGTGGGAAAGTCATGGATGAGAAATAAAAATAGGAGATGTGAAATTCAAGAACAATAAGTATTCTAAGATGCTTGACTGAAAAAGGAACAATGAAGGGACAGTCTTGGGTATCTAAAGAAAATTATTTTAAATTTTGTAAATGGGTGAGATTTGTACGTATTTCCATGTGAGGAGAAGGAAGCAGCACAGACAAAGAGATTGAAGGTACGAAAGGAAGAGAGGTAGATGATAGAGTAAGGTTATGGAGAAGACAGAAATGGGGAGTAGAATCTGGAACCCATCTTGTACAAATGAATGACATCTCTTCTTCTGAGGGGCAAGGCATCAAGAAAGGTATCATTTAGAGCCTCCATTTTTCCTGGTAAAAGTGAAGAAAGAGGTAGTTATAGATCTTAACATAGTGAACAGGTTTTGGAATGTAGCCATGAGAAATTAAGAGTCATTAACCAGGAATTCATACAAGGAATGCTGGTTATTAATGAAGATTCAGTTGAAACCATAAATTTGTAGAAATTTTGTAGAAATAAATTTTGTAGAAAATTTTATAGAAAAAGTTTCACAATTGTGTAATTCATTCATCAATCAAAAATTTTTTTGGTATATACTATGGTCTAAACCCTTAATTAATGTTGGAAGTACCAAAATAAGTCACATTTTCTGAAGTCTAGCGGGGGAGAAACAAGCATATTAATTAGTGTCTTCCACAACAGACCTTCTGCAGGCAGTTACTCACTATCATTCACCATTGAGGTACTCTGCTTTTTCCAGCAAGATCCAGTCTCTTGAATCACACACAACATGACAAGCCAGAGTGGTTGAAGGGGCCTCTGTCAAATAAGCATTAACTTCAACTGTCCCACCTGCGGAACTAGGGGAACCCTGAATAATTGTTTCATCCTCCTGAAAATCCATATGAGTGCTTTCAGTTTTCTCAGTCTGCCTCCATTTTCAGAGAAGGGAAGTAAAACAGGTCTAGGAAGAACAAAGCTCTCACCTTTCTGAGTTTGATAAATTTGTCCTTTATTTTACCACATAAGTCAGAACTACTATATATCACAACCCTGCTAATTTTTTCTTCTCCTCCTTCCTCCCACCTATCTCCTGCCACTTCCCCAGAAGCATAAAGCTTTCAACATCCTGCTGTCCATTAGCATAAATAAACCCTTGCTTTTAAAGTAAAAATAGGTTTAATGCTGTATTTGTTAAAGACTGCATTATCGTAAGAGGATAAAAATATTCTTGAGTAACAGGTAGATCATAGATTTTAGAGATAACATGCTTCTATTGTGGTTCTCTGAAAGTCAATTATTTTAACCATAGATTTAAACTTCAGATCTCAGCATAAGTTACATTTTCACTTTAGAAGTTGTTAAACAATGCAGTTTCTCAAGACATGTACCTTCATGTTTTCATTTTTATTTGTTTTCAATATACTGTAGGCAGATCTAAGAAATGAAAAAAGATAACATGCCATTAAATTTAATATTGGCTATATGAACCAGGAGATATGTTGTTATAACTTTTCTCTTCATTTTGACTTATCTATTGTTAATTTAAATTTTATATATCATTTGTACTATAGATAAAAAAATACTGGGCTAAAAAAGAACAGAAATGGCAAGAAATGGAAATAAGAGATCTTCAGCGTCTGGAAGAACTGAAGAAATTAATGGCTGAACAGTCAGTGAAAGACAGAGAAAGGTAAAAGAAAAATCCTAAATTGCATAGTAATGGAGGTGGTTAGAGTAAACAGGGAGCATTTTTCTAACTTAAAGTATTCTTACAATATTTATATTCACAAATAGATAAAATCACACTTATAATGTATTTCAGTCTCTCATATTCATACACAAATCTCTAGTTTGTCATTTAGTTACTTAGATAGCTTCCAAGTTCAAACCCTCACAGGTAATTTCATAGTATTTGATTGCCCACTGTGTGCATGAAATGATACTGGCTGCTGCTATGACTTAATATGGTGACATAGAAGGAGGAAACCATTATTCAGAAAAGAAGGGAGACCCATTTATTGTGACTATGGCTGGGGAAGACAATGCACAATTATACTGTGTATGCGATTAATTCTAGTATACTTAGAATGCACCCTATGTAGGAAAACACAGAGGATTTCTTGGAATAGTGTAATTTTAGAGCTGAAGAGGACATTTGAGATCAACTAACCCAGTGTCCTCATTTTGTGAATGAGTACCCTGAGAAATTAAAATCACTTTTCTAAGTTTACCATATCAATCAGTGTCAGCAAGGAGCCAGAGACAACACAGTAATTTGAATAGGGAAAGTTTAAGATAAAGAATCACTAATTCTAATAGAAAACCTCTATTATATAAAGAGATAAAGGGCACTTTAAGGAAGACCCCCCCCGCTGCTGAAGAAAGTTTCCCATAGAAGAAATGAATATGGATTGGGGAGCCTGGGTGGCTCAGTGGGTTAAAGCCTCTGCCTTCTGCTCGGGTCATGATCCCAGGGAGCCTGCTTCCTCTTCTCTCTCTCTCTCTGCCTGCCTATCTGCCTACTTGTGATCTCTGTCTGTCAAATAAATAAAATCTTAAAAAAAAAAAAAAGTTGCTGTGGCTGATATCGAAGAGGTTACTGCCTATGTTCTCCTCTAGGATTCTGATGGATTCCTGTCTCACGTTGATGTCTTTTATCCATTTTGAGTTTATCTTTGTGCACAGTGTAAGAGAATGGTCGAGTTTCATTATTCTACATATAGCTGTCCAGTTTTCCCAGCACCATTTATTGAAGAGACTGTCTTTTTTCCACTGTATATTTTTTCCTGTTTTGTCGAAGATTATTTGCCCATAGAGTTGAGGGTCCATATCTGGGCTCTCTACTCTGTTCCACTGGTCTATGTGTCTGTTTTTATGCCAGTACCATGCTATCTTGGTGATCACAGCTTTGTAGTAAAGCTTGAAATCAGGTAATGTGATGCCCCCAGTTTTATTTTTGTTCTTCAACATTTCCTTAGTGATTCGGGGTCTCTTCTGATTCCATACAAATTTTAGGATTACTTGCTCCAGCTCTTTGAAAAATACCAGTAGAATTTTGATCAGAATGGCATTAAAAGTATAGATTGCTCTAGGCAGTATAGACATTTTAACAATGTTTATTCTTCCGATCCAAGAGCATGGAATGGTCTTCCATCTTTTTGTGTCTTCTTCAATTTCTTTCATGAGTGTTCTGTAGTTCCTCGAGTACAGTTCCTTTACCTCTTTGGTTAGGTTTATTCCCAGGTATTTTCTGGTTCTTGGTGCTATAGTAAATCGAATCGATTCTCTAATTTCCCTTTCTGTATTTTCATTGTTAGTGTATAAGAAAGCCACTGATTTCTGTACATTGACTTTGTATCCTGCCACGTTGCTTAATGCTGTATGAGTTCTAGTAGTTTGGGGGTGGAGTCTTTTGGGTTTTCCATATAAAGAATCATGTCATCTGCAAAGTGAGAGAGTTTGACTTCTTCATTGCCAATTTGGATACCTTTTATTTCTCTTTGTTGTCTGATTCCTGTTGCTAGGACCTCTAATACTATGTTGAACAAGAGTGGTGATAGTGGGTATCCTTGTCGTGTTCCTGATCTCAACGGGAAGGCTGCAAGCCTTTTCCCATTGAGGATGATATTTGCTGTGGGTCTTTCATAGATAGATTTTATGAAGTTCAGGAATGTTCCCTCTATCCCTATACTTTGAAGCGTTTTAATCAGCCACAGCAACTTCATTCAAGATATGTCTCCAAAGGCAAAGGAAACAAAAGCAAAAATGAACTTTTGGGACTTCATCAAGATCAAAAGCTTCTGCACAGCAAAGGAAACAGTCAACAAAACAAAGAGGCAACCCACGGAATGGGAGAAGATATTTGCAAATGACAGTACAGACAAAAGGTTGATATCCAGGATCTATAGAGAACTCCTCAAACTCAACACACACAAAACAGACAATCATATAAAAAAAATGGGCAGAAGATATGAACAGACACTTCTCCAATGAAGACATACAAATGGCTATCAGACACATGAAAAAATGTTTATCATCACTAGCCATCAGGGAGATTCAAATTAAAACCACATTGAGATACCACCTTACACCAGTTAGAATGGCCAAAATTAGCAAGACAGGAAACAACATGTGTTGAAGAGGATGTGGAGAAAGGGGAACCCTCTTCCACTGTTGGTGGGAATGCAAGTTGGTGCAGCCACTTTGGAAAAGAGTGTGGAGATTCCTCAAGAAATTAAAAATAGAGCTTCCCTATGACCCTGCCATTGCACTACGGGTATTTACCCCAAAGATAAAGATGTAGTGAAAAGAAGGGCCATCTGTACCCCAATGTTTATAGCAGCAATGGCCACGGTCGCCAAACTGTGGAAAGAACCAAGATGCCCTTCAACGGATGAATGGATGAGGAAGATTTGGTCCATACACACTATGGAGTATTATGCCTCCATCAGAAAGGATGAATACCCAACTTTTGTGGCAACATGGACGGGACTGGAAGAGATTATGCTGAGTGAAATAAGTCAAGCAGAGAGAGTCAATTATCATATGGTTTCACTTATTTGTGGAGCATAACAAATAGCATGGAGGACAAGGAGAGATGGATAGGAGAAGGGAGTTGAGGGAAATTGGAAGGGGAGGTGAACCATGAGAGACTATGGACTCTGAAAAACAATCTGAAGGCTTTGAAGGGGCGGGGGGTGGGAGGCTGGGGGAACCAGGTGGTGGGTATCAGAGAGGGCACGGATTGCATGGAGCACTGGGTGGGGTGCAAAAACAATGAATACTGTTATGCTGAAAAGAAACAAACAAACAAACAAAAAGAATATGGAAGCCACCCCCACCTCCATGGTTAAGACTCAGACCTCATTGTTGAAGGCATGGTTGTAGCCCAATGCATGGTGGAGAAGTTTTAAAAGGGCTCAACCAGAACTTGTTCATAGTCACTGGGCAAGCAGGAAATGCCCTGCTTGAGTGTAGGAGGCCAAAGCTGGAAGTCAACCATTGGGATGCTTGCAAAACTCAGTGGGAATCTGACCCTGGGAGTGCCTCTCAAATTTGATGGGAAACTGACCACTGGCTGCCATTGGAACTCCATGGGCACAGAGGCCATTGTAAGTTCCCCACACATGCAGCAGGTAGCCATATGGTAGGAGCAAGAAGGGGTACCAGAAAAGGGGAACCAGAAAAGAAAGCCTCTTCCTTCTTCAGCATCTTTCCAGAACGCATTTCTAACATAGCTTAACATTGTGCCAGACAATAAATTGGTAACTAGCATAGTTATCTAGTTAGCTAGCTTCTGAGTAGATTTTCACAAGAGATAAATTAAGAATAGCTCTTTTGTTTCATAACAGAAATCACAATAAGTTTACGGTTAGTCAGTGTAAAAACCTTGCCTGGAACTCATACTTTCTGCTCAATTTTGCTAAAAATAAAGTCTATTAAAAAATTACCCCTTAGAGGTGTCTGGGTGGCTCAGTCAGTTAAGCCTCCAACTCTTGGTTTTGGCCCAGGTCCTGATCTCATGGTTTGTGAGATCAAGTTGGGATCCACACTCAGCAGGAATTTGCTTGGATGTACTCTCTCCCTCTGACCCTTCCTTTCTCTCTCTCTCTAAATAAATCTTTATTTATTTATTATAAATAAATAAATACAAAATAAAATTATCCCTTAGACTTATACATAACCTTGGAAGACATAACCATTTTATACAACAAGTTTCACTTTTATCAAGGAAGATTCCTTTGTGAGTCATGGGACAGTTATCTCAAACTCTAGCCACCAAACTTGCAGAGTAAATCTGGAGTTCCACACAGATGCTGGGCAATTCCCAAGGATTTTCCAGATGAAACTTACATAATTTTCTAGGTATCTCAGGATTTTAGAGTTCAGTTTAATCTATTATGGAGACAAATGAGAATACAGCAAAGCCAAGTCTCTAGATTAAGAGGTGAAACAGCTAATGAGAAACCAGCCAAAAAGCACAAACCAAGATAAAGTGGATACCAGCAGGTAGGTCATGCCATAGGTCAGAGACAAAAATCCCACTAAAGAGCAAGACAATGGTGAGGTCAAAGGCTTGTTGGATAGTCTGAAGCTATGCTGGGGAATTAAGAGAGCCACAGGAGTTAACGGGGGTGGGGAAAATGAAGAGATATGAGGTCCCAGCATCTAGCAGACATGCTTCTAATAGAATCTCCTCTCATAGCCAGGGAGTTTCTTTGATTAGAGAACCATTTCAGTCTTTTGCTTCCTGTTTCAATAATTATCAAGATTAGCTGACTCAGAACTCCAATTGAAAAGAAGAAAAGGAAAATCAGATTAATCTGCATTACATAACAGGAAAAAATAGGCATATCACACATAGCAGAAAGAGTACTAAGGACTAGGAACCAGGGGACCAGAGTTTTAGTCTTAAATCTTCTTGGAATAGTGTATGACTTGGCTAAAACCATTCATTTAACCTCTGTGAAGCTCTGCTTTGTTCTTTGTAAAATTGAACTGGATAGCTTCTGAGGGCTAAGTGAGCTATCAACTTTTAGGGGTCTATGATCTGTGTTTTCAACTCACGTGAAATGTTGTAGATATGGATTGTTATGAGTCCAGTACTTGCATGCCAATGGGAAATCAGTAAGGAAGGTCATTAAAATATCAGGATAATATGATATAACAAGAAACAGTCCCCAGAAAATT